CAGGTGCCGAGGGAATTGCTGTGCAACCACACTCTCAACAACCTTCGCCACAAAGCGAAGGTTGGAGACTGGGCGATAGTTAGCCAATACATCTGGATCCAGGGAAGGCTTCTTCAGGAGGGGCCTCACCACCGCCTCCTTTAGGATCGCGGGGAAGGCACCCTCCCGTAAAGAAGCGTTTATAATTCCCTGGAGCCAGATGTATATAGTACATAGTATATACTGTATATATGCTATATATGTTTATTATACAGGCAGAGAGCGTGTTGCTAGTCCAGATTGTGGGTGTGAGAGAGTTAAGTTGAAGGTCTTCTTCTTTAAGAAGATAAGAAGAGCTCAGCTAGATAAAGCCAAAACTCCACCCAGACCAGGATTTTGCTTTCTTAGAGTGGCCAACCAACTACCTCTTGGAAGTTCATAAGCAGGACAGGAAGACAGTTTTATTATATGTCTTTAGCAATTGACTGATGCTCAACAACCCATCTCTGAATTTACAGCATGCTTCCAATATTTTGATCCTCATTGTTGTATTAAATAGTTCATTCTACCAATTTAGAATAAACATGAAATCATGTGCGGTTTCCTCCTCTTCTTAGGCCACCAGAGGACTCTATCAGGGATCCCAACCCTTCGGTTGAGATGAACTCTTCTGCTCTCCTCTCCAAGGGGAACCGAGAGCCGGGCCTTAATAACGTGCGTGTTAAGCAGGCCAATCAAGACACTCTTCCTGGAATCACCACCAGCAGTTTCCTGTATGGCGTGTCGCTGCCCACACAGATCGCCATGGAGATAAAGCAGGAAGGTTCAGCCAGTCGGCATGGGATGAATGCAGTCGGCGAGATGCTGAGGCCCCGTCCATCAGGAGAAGCGAAGGTGCCTTCGCCACAGGAGTTCGGTGACTGCTGTGGTAATGGCCTTCATGTTTGCTGACCCAGGAATGGCTGCTCAAAACTGGTGCAAAGATGTTGGTGTAGCCTTGAAGTAAAATAGGGTGGGAATAGGAATTGTGTAATGATGGCTTTGACTGGATTACTGATGATGGTTTTGACAAGGCCATCCTTATGTAGGAAGGGACAGTAGTATTTAGTCAACTAGGTATGATTCCTGGAGGCTGGATGTGGTTAAGACCATAGTTGGGTTTTTAT